CTGAAAAGTTACATGGTTTTTGGGAACACACTAGATAACCTATTATGATCTCCTGAACCTAAACCTCCGAAATATTTCTCTCAACTGAAAGCTCATTGTCCGTTGCCACCTGAAATATCAGTAGGATCTCCGCTCAATATAAAGGTCTGCAAATGTATGGATCATTAAGAAAATATATGTTTATCTGTATCTGCACGTTCTTCAGCATCATTTGGTAGTTCTGTATTACTGAGCTTTCCGAAGCTCACTCTGTTACTCATCTTTTCAGGCTAAAAGAATTGTATCAGTGCAGCTATCGATTTCAGTAAGGGAGTTCTTCCGGTGTTGTTTGCAGAGTACGGTACATGTGATTAGGGGGCATGTAATTGTATTTTATTTTTATATACGAGTATAAAAATCAGTTTTGTTTCTGCATAATGATAAATCATTTTATAAGTTACATATTTTAATAAAAGTTTTAAATTTTCCGCTATTTTTATGGTAGGTCACTCCGATAGCCCTAATGTGACACTCCAGATCGGATCGGGTTACTCGCATCAGTCTGAGGGGGTTACATGTATTTTTATATGTTTTAATAAAACTTTCAAAACTTTCTATTATTTTTATTGTGTGTCGCTCCAGTGGCCCTAATGTAACACCTAGGATCGGATCAGGTCACCCGTATCGGTTTGAGGATGTTACATGTATATATAAGTATATATATATATATATATATATATATATATATTTATCATTAAACATAAGTGACTAAAATAAAAGATTCTAAAATTAATATTCACATTTAATAATTGTGAATATTAAAGAAAAAAGGGAAAAATATTGTAATTAGAATGTATACAATACTAAATTGCATTGAATTGAAAAATTCAAGAAAAGATTTATAATTACACCATGACTAAAATAAAAGAAAATAAAAATCAAATTAAAAAATAGAAAACCTCTAATTGTTAGAGGATTGTATTTCTAATTAACCCAAAAAATATATTGGTAATTTAAAAAAGGCGCCAACATTTTTCAAAAAATAAAATTTCCCTCTTTCCTTTCTAAATTTCCAAAAAAAAACATAAATTTTCCCTCTTTTCTCTTCTAAATTCTCAAAATATCAGTTTTTATCTCTTCTAAATTTTGGCAAACAAATCTAATTTGCCAAAAATTGACAATTCCCTCTTCTAAATTTATAAACAATCAATTTTTTCTTCAAAAACAATCTTTCTTTTAAAAAGTTCTCCCATCACCTATATATATATATAAAGTTTATTGTTTATTTTAAATTGATGATTAAATTTTAAAATTTAAAATTTTCAATCTCAAGTAAATTAATCTTTTATATATTTTTTTAAATTTTAAGTTACATTGTATTTAAATTATTAATTAATTAATATATATAAATAAATTCAACTTATAAATATTTAAATTAATTTTATATAATCTAATAAAATCATGTTCAATAAATAAATTATTTAATGAAATTAATTTACTAATTATAATTAAGATTTATAATATAAGGATTATAATTAAGATAGAAAATAAATTTATTAATTTAATTATCATAACTAACAATTTATATTAATTTTTAAAGAGTAATCATATTAATTATTTATTTAATTGTCCAAAAATTATCATAACTAACCATTTGTTTTAACTTTTAAAAAATAATTATATTAATTATCGTAGTTTATTATAAATTCAAAATCTCACGACTTCATCAATTGTAATTTATAAGTCAAATAAATATAAGTTCAATTTAATAATAGGTCAGATCATTTACAGGTTGAGTCAATTAAAGATCAGGTTGATAATAGGTCAAGTAATATCAATTATTTATTGGGTTAATCTCGAGTTCAAGTTCATATTAGATCGGGTTCGGTTATCTCATTATCAGGTTCAATTCGGGTTCAGGTCGATTTCAGTTCGGGTGCAAGTCAGAAATTTTCAGCTCCAACTCGAGTTCAGGTCAACACCAGATTGAAATCAAATCGATTTCGGATCACCACCACCTCAGGTCATAAACAATTTTGACTAAAATTGATTTCAGTCAATTTTACATGTCGAGTCAATTTTTTACATCCTTAATTAAAACAAAAAACAAAAATAATAGGTGTATAGTTCTCTTTCTCGGCTACAATTTCTTTTTGGAACTTAGCTGCGTCAAATTATTAGATTTAGTCTTGGTTCTTGTCAGTAATGTCTATCGTGTTGTCACATTTTTTAGGTTATTCTTTACAAGTTTTCCAGTGAGATGCTTCAGTCTGATAATGACAAATCATCTCCTGAAAATTTGAAGAAATGGGTATTTGTCAGTTCTGTAAGGGCTCATACCCATGATGTTAGAGCCTTGACAATGGCAGTGCCCATCAGTTCTGAAGGTCTGTTCATGTTTTTGATCCCATGCGTATTTACTGTTTTTTGTATTTATTTATTTATTTAATTTTGAACTTGCATTTTTTTTTTTGGATAAATATTGAACTTGCATTTAGTTAAATAGATCGGGTACCTTTTGATTTAAACTTCTTTTTCCTTCTAATTTCCAGGCTCTTTATCTGATGAGGCAAAAGACTTGCAAGAAGACGAGGATAAAAGTAAAAAGAATCCGATACAGGGAGAAGAAGCCCTTTGATTTCAGTTATGGTAAATGGGCTCATTTTGGAGTTCCCCTGCTTATCTCTGCTGATGATGACGCAAAGCTGTTTGCCTACTCTGCTAAAGATTTTACTAGGTTCTCCCCACACGATATTTGCCCTGCACCTCAGAGAGTTCCAATACAACTGGTCACTAGCACAAGGTTCAATCGGACTTCTTTTCTCCTGGTCCAGGCTTCTTGTTGGTTAGATGTGCTCACTGTTCAAGTTCCTGATGTGGGTTCTGGCCCCTATGGTGATACTGTGACCACTAATATTGTAGCTCGGGTTCAGAGTAAGGCTTGTCGGAAAATCATTTGCAGTGCCATGTCTAGCTCAGGGGAGCTTATTGGTTATTGTGACCTCATTAGATCCAGCCTATTTGCACTAAGTAGGCAAGCTGGCCAAAGTACATGGACCATTAGGAAAAGGCAACTTCCTCAGAAACTTCCATCTGCACATTCTATGGTTTTTACCTCTGATGGGTCCGGTTGCTGATAGCAGGGCATGATAGAAGGATCTATGTAAGCCTCTACCCTCTTGGCTTTCTTGTGTTATCCTTATTGTAGTTTTTAAATTGTGAATTTTCTCAAAACTATCTATTTGATTATTTTTGGTTTTTTAGGCTAGCGGAATGAGTATTTCCATCCTCTGAACTAACTTTTAGTTTTGTGAGGTCTTTCACCTTTTCTAACGGCTTACTAAAATCAAATATTTTCCACCTCAAACTTGGAAATTCTGATCGTGTGTTAATGCACTCAAACACATACGTTTGCTTATTGTAACATAATATGAATGTATGAATCAAACAAGGAAACGAGCTTCCAATAGCAAAGTGTAGAACCTCCTTTAACCTCCCTGAACCATAGAATATGTGACTTCAGATAACGCGTTTGTGTCATATTTGATAATGACTTACTCTCCTGGTTTTATAGATTTTGCATTTGGAGAGCTCGAAACTACTGCATTCCTTTATACCTTGTCGTGAGGGGCACGAGAAGGAAGGACCCCCTGGTGGTGAGCCTCCCATTACTAAAATGTTCACAAGTTCTGATGACAAGTGGTTAGCTGCTATCAGCTACTTTGGAGATATATATTTATTCAATCTGGAGGTACCAAGGTAAGAAATTACATATGAGACAATTATTAAATAGGGGTATTACTTAATAGCTATCTAGTTGATAATGCCATTTCAAATATATGATTAATGTTGATGAGATGAGGACAGGACGGCTTAATGTTCTATGATTTTTCATTGCTTTGTTATTCTTTTGATTCAGTTTTTTTTTTTTCTGGACCAGGCAACATTGGTTTATATCAAGATTGGATGGCACCTCTGTTACTGCTGGTGACTTTCCTCCTCAGAATAATAACGTGCTTATTATCACAAAATCTTCAAACCAATTCTTTATATTTGATGCGGAAGCTAGACAATTGAGACAATGGTCAATGCAGCAAACATTCACTCTTCCCAAAAGATTCCAAGAATTTCCTGGGGAAGTTATCGTGTTATCTTTCTCCCTTCCATCCTCCTCCCATCCTTCAAAATCAACATCTGTTGTGGTTTATAGTGCAAGGTATGGTTCTTATACTGTTCGACTTATGCTGCTGCTGTGGTTTAACATGTTATGTTGTCATTGTAGCCATATCTTAATATTAGCCATTATGATCAATATCACCAAGTTGGGGGATATATGTGCTGCTTTAGTTTGTGCTGTTTTATTGAGTTCCCAGCAATGGTTTACTTTGTACACTTTATACTGGTTGCCTGCTGATCTCTTCCGCTACGTCTCATCCTTGCATAATCAATATGCCACTATTTTGCTAGCATGTTATCTTAAAACTGACAGGCTTATCTCCCACGAAATTTTGGACAGATTATTTGTTTTTCCTAAATGCTTTTAGGCATTTTGGAGATCTGGTAAATGTGTATGGTCTTCCATAATTTTGAGGCAGACATGCTCAAGTGGAGACATGGAAAAATATCCATGTCTAATTGTCTGGCGATTATTGTTCTGCCTAATCAACATGACTAAAAACTTGGAACATTAGAAGAAATGCTGCATTTGATTATTATCGTGTATCATTAAAAGATTGAGGAAATTTTAAAAAAAGAATTATCAGCATTATTGGCTATTTTAGCGTATTTGAAATAGAGATAATGCGTTACTTACCATTTTAACCAATAACAACCAACAGCTTGAACAAATAGATAAACAGAATATTTAATATGTGTCATGTTCATTGATAGTATTCTTTCAGTCTAAAGTCCCAATAAAAAAAAACCATATCCAGTTGAGCAATAAAAGATTGTGAAATAAAAGTATCATGAATTTTGAAGCTACCGATCCCTTTACAGCTAAAACCAAACCCAGTCAAATCCATCAAAAGTAAAATGATAATCAAATAATCAAATCTTGAGGATGAGGTTCAAGTTTGTGATGCCCTACACAAAATTCTCTAAGCTACGCCGCTGTCTTTCATCTCCCTCATTAACATTCGACACCTACAATCAAAGTCAGCAACTTGAATATGTCCTAAATGTTGAGTACTAACCTCATCCTCAAGGTTCTTCTGCCAAGTAATACGAGTTTTATTAGACCGGGTTTGAATTCGAAGGAGTCTGCTTCGCTCCACTTGAACGACCACCCCTTCCACGCCAAGCTGAACCTCTCGGCCGACCAGGAAATTCACCATGGTTTCCATAATCGTTTCTCACAAAGCTTCGGTTAACTACATAGTTTCCACGGCCCCTGAAGCTGTCACTTCGAAACCCTCCTCTTCTGGTTGGGAAACTACCTGTTTCACTTCCAACTGTAAGAAACAGCAGCAACATAGGAGGGAAACTATCAGTCTAGTTCAATCTTTATAATTCATGCAGTTACAATATTAACCATCACAAATATCCCCCCCCCCCAAACAATTTTACAGAATGTGGTAGAGATTTCAAGAAACTGTATCTCAACTCTTCAATTTTCTTGAAGTGCTCATGTCCTATACGTAGCTGGACGAGAGTACGATCTTCCCAAGAGCTCCCAAATACATGGAGTTCTTTAAAAAGGTTGATATACCCGTGTCAAATACATACATGTATCCAAGTTACAAAGTTCGAATCAATAGAGTATACCAATAAGTTCATAGAGTTCTTACTTACCTCTGGTTGAAGTTCTCTTTATCTCGACAACAGCTTGACGGTCTCCGATTGTAATTGGTGATGCCTGAATATTAAAGTTCATGCAACAAGTGCAATGCTAAAAAATGTAACAAGGAAATGGCTGGTTCTGAGAATGTAATGACGTTTTAATTACATGGAATTTATATGGACGAATAACACCAAAGATCACTCAATTATTGGTAAGATTACAAATGAGTCACCCATAGAGAGCTTTTCACTCATTCCTGATTTTTTTCCTTTATTTTTAAATAAGGAAAATAAATTTCTCTATATTTTCTGAAACTGTGTCTATCTTATTTCAAAATCCAAGAATCTGATCCATTACACTTCCAGACGAGCACTGGTAAATAAACTCATTTTTCCTAGTTAATGCATCATTTCATAATGCAAATTATGTGCAACATCAGTACTCACACAGAACATAAATTTCTTTCGTCTACTGTTATAGCCTTATAGGCCATCAGATAAAAGAGACAATCCTAAACAGATCTTAGAGATGAAGCGACTACTCGTTATAAAAGCCTGCTGATGAAAAGGTTTTGATAATATTGCCTATAGCTAAGCACTGTTCATTCAAGCAAATGATGAGACATTGGATGGGAAAGTGGCAGGGAACAGAACACCAAATGAAGATTTAGATACTAGGGAAACATGAAAGCATTCGCATATAAATGCTCAAAGAACTAGGTTTCGACCAAAAAAATAGGGAAGAACCAAGTTAGGAAAACAATTATACACACATACCGAGCACTGATATTTAACATGCAACTGATTCTTAAATAATTATCGACTATAGATGTTTTGGAACCAGGGGGAAGACTACTAAAAGAAGTTTATTTTCTCTCGATGTGAGGTATTGGACGCTTGCTGCCATGGTTCATATAAAGATTTTGAATCTGTAGGTGATCAACGGAGAAGCTAATTAGTACCTGATGGTAGACAAAATTGCACTTTCCTACTTTTGGGGTTTGTGCATAAAAAGAAATTTAAAGTGTTGGAAACTAAAGCTGCTCTTGATGAAAATATGTTGCCCCTTAAATGGTTGAAAGAGTTGTGGTGGGGGTGTTGTGCCAAGAACATTTAACAGATCCCATATGATTTCAAAACCCTCCCTCATAATAAGGGCAGTAAAAAGAGTAGACTGAATGAAAGAAACAGATGATCTGGAACATTCTTTCGATATACATACATAACAAACATGAGCCATACCTGAATTGCATCATTCATGGAGCTCCAAGATAGAAATTCAACGAAACCAAAACAGTATCCCTGTTGCTGAAGAAATAGAATGTACATATATCAACAAAAGAATGTTCTTGAAACAGAATATAATCTATTATTCATTCAATGTGCCGCAAACCGACCTTATTGTTTCTAACTTGGACACCCCCTTGCTTGATGGGTCCAAACTTCTTGAACTCCTGCTCCAGCTGTGCAGGGATCACATTGAAGGGCAAGTTCTTTATGTAAATGGAATGACCCTCAACTGTTAGTTAAATAGAGTTAATACACTGTTATTCATACTGAAAGCATGTAAGATGATCTCAGATCACACAGCCCAATTTTGTAAATGACACACGCATGAAATACCTTTCTCAGGAATTTCGTTACTCTCAGGGGCATCGATGCTAGAAGGTGCAGATGCTTCTGGTGGTGCAGGTGCTGGAGACACAGGAGGCTGGCTCTCAGTTTTCTGGGGCATCACTCTAGAGGAATTAGTAGGGACATAGACTCTAGTAGGCCCCGAACTCCCTTTTGGTACTTTTACCTATAACAATAACTAAGAAACATAAACAAGCAACAAAATGCAAAAACTGGAAAGTAGATATTCATTTCTAAACTCACAATTGACGCATAAGATTTCTTTGGAGTATCTTCTTGGGCTGAAGAAGCCGATTCAACTACTGGAATATCATTATTTTCTGAATGAGACTGGGATACTGAAAGAGTCTCTTTTTCATTGACCAACTCCAACTGTCTTTCCTGGTCTAATTGCTCAGAAACTTGCTCGGCAACATTTTGATTCTCTTCCACAAGAGCAGCAGTTGCATCTGTTGCAGAAGGATCCATACCTTGAGTAGGCTCTGCAAATGAAAATTAAAAGAATATTGAAAAACTATCCAATAAAACACAAGGAAAATAAAAAAGAAAACAATACAAGTTTACCATGTTCTGCTGAAGAAGGCACTCCAGGAGCATCATAAACACCATTAACTTTCTGATTCTCCAAGGATTCACCATCCTCTACATATCTAAATACATCATTTAGAACAAAGTACCCATTGTCCTGGGGAGCAAGGAAAAAAGATTGCGCAAAATTTCTCTTCAAGTTATCCTTGCCCATTAGATATCCGGTTACTAGCACAGTTACCCCTTCCTTGTAAGATTTCTGAGCATCAGCAGTATTAATCTCAGCCTTACAATTTTTGTAATCCAAGGAGAGAATCTTTTCATTAATACCCTGTTCAAGAAAATTGTTATCGGAATGTCTTTGCACCGGATGATAGTATAAAACTGAAAGCAGTTATAAATTTATAACACAATATAACTACACACTGTTTGTTATTGGAAACTAAAAAGGGAATAATATTACAGTTTCAACATCCAAAAAATGAAAACTTTTAAAGGGGAGGATGGAGGAAGAGAGCTAGAGCATGTGTGATGGATTCTTCTTGTTTACCAAAAGTCCAAAATGAAAGCTCTAAGTTCAAGCTTACCTAATGGATGAGCAATATTGTGAATCAGAGATGGATGCAAAAATGAACAGATGAATGAGACATTGTTCAGAACATTATGCCCTTTTTTTCTAATGAAAACCAAAAGAAATTTGTAAAAAGTTAAGCTCCAACTAAGTTAATATTTGTTAATTAAGTAAAGTTAGTAGCAGAAACAAACATCACATATGAAGAGAAAAATGTCGGAGGAAAACGCACATTACATTGCCAAATTGAGAATCCCATGTCCATTAAATGGTGTTATATTCAGAAGCATCATACCCTAACTCCAAAAAGTTTGTGCAAATTTCTTGAAAAAAAAACCTACGGACTTAAGCACTGATGCTCAAATTAGTACCGCCTAAATCATACGGTAATATACTGCCCTTTGACCATGTAGTAAGTAACAAGTCACCATCTATTAAATGTACATCATCAGTATAGAATCAAGCAAATTATATTAATTTACAACATGCTGGATGTTCTCAAGAGATTTTAAAGATCAATGATCATAAATTCTTAGAACCCACTAAAAGAACAACATCGAGAAGTTATAGCACAAACCAAGCAGCTTACTTGCATTGTTGTCACTGATGTCATCACGCCATTGGAGTCCGGCCGGCTAAGCACACTTGAATCATGATAGAATCTGTGAGCCAACTCCGGAGAATTATAAAGAATGTGATAATACTGCTCAACAAAAGCATTTCCAACAACTTGGGCACTTGGAGTAGCTGTTTCCAATGCCATCTACTGGAAGAAAACGCCATACATAAATTTACCACCAGAATGTATATATTCAAGCTCAAACGAGAAAAGACTGCCCCTAAACTACAACCTCAGAGCTAAAGCATGGACGGTTCTGCACACTCAGGAATCATCAATACTATAGAGTGCATAAGGAAATTGAATTAAAAAGGCTGAAAGATACCCCCACCAAACCTCCATGAAAAAGCATTGCCATCAAATGTATAAAGGAAACAATAAAATCATAATAGGACTTAATTTACATTATTTTACCTACATGCTCATGAAAACTCTTGCACTTAATTGCGCCAAAACAAGTATTGATCTAAAGAAGAAGAAAAAACTAAAAATCAAATTAAAAAGTACTTCCATCAAAAGTTGTTAAAAAGAGCCTAAATACCAACAATTTTCACTAAAAATATAAAGATTAAACAACAATAAAATCGTAACAGGGCTTAGCTTACATTTATTTACCAACATTCTCTAAGAGTAGTCCTCTACATTCCTCCTAACAATTAAATGCATCAAGCCAAGGATTCATATAAAAACAACAAAGAAGTAAAACAAAGCCAGATCTTCTAAGAAAAAGTAGCAGATTCCTTGGATCCAACCAGCAAGTAGGTCCAAAAAAATAAACCCGAAAAGAAAAATGAGGAATACCCATCGAAAAAAGCCAACAGCATTTTATGAATCAAGCAACATTTTTAGGAGACATTAATACCATGCAGTAAAAGAACATAAAAAACCCATAACAAAAAATAAAGTTTTTAATCAAACGACAAAAAAATTGAACTTTACAATAATGACTGATCCAATAAACAACTACAAAAGGAAAACCAATAAATACCCACCAAGTAAATACAAAAGAAAAATTAAATAGCGAATGGGAAAAGGAAGAAAAATTACGATCGGAGGAAGGTACCTGAAAATGGGAGATATTGAAAGTTTTCCAGAGAATAAACAGGCTTTTGTTGGAAGGCGAGGCTTGCAAGCAGCAGTGAAGGTATCTGTTTTATATGAGAGTTATTTGTTGAAGGAGATGAAGATGGCACAGTGGTTTTGAGTGGCAGGGAGAGAAGATAAATCGAAGAAGAAGAAGAGTTGGAATAGGCAACGAGAAATAAGGGAAAGAGAGTGAAGAATACTAGAATAGTACTTGTGAACTGTGAAGGTATTTTTCTCTGGCCTACTACGTTTTTCCTTTAGGGTCTGTCTGTGTATTTTCTCCTTTTAAGGGGAATTTAAAAAAATGTTTAATACTTAAAATAGTACCTGTACTTTAGTGAAATTATACTTTGGACCTTTTACTATTTTCGATCAATTTCACCCATCAATTTAATTATCACTTTAGCCCTTTAGTATTTTCAAAAAGAAAATATCCCATGGTCCAATTAGATTCTTTCATATATAATAAAAAAAAATTATTTTACTTTATATTAGATCACATCATTATTTAAAAAATAATAATTTCAAGACTAAAACGAATAACAAATTGAAAATTAAGGGTTAAACTAATCAAAATAGTAAAAGAAGGTTAAAGTGAGAATTTCACTAAAATATAAGGGTTAAAGTAGATACTAAAGCCTTTACAAATACATAAATCATATAATTTTTTTGTTTAATACTCTCTTTGTCCCATTAAATACGTCTTATATTAATTTTTTTGTCAATTTTTAACTTAAATTTACTATTATTTAAAATTTATTATTGATAAAAATATAAAATATGTATTTTAAAAACATTTAATCAATTAATTTTAAGTATATATTTTAAAAATTTAAAAATTTTAACTTTTAAAAAATTAATAAGAGACAAATTTAATAAGACTGGGGGAATATATGTTTTTATCTTTATTTTATAGTGATTGTGATCAAGTTTAAAAAGAATGACATTGAGATAGCCACGTGTTAAAAATTTAAAAAAAATCTTTAATATTACAGATATGTATTTCTGTAGATGTTTACTATGATTAGAATATTAGGTACTAAATAGAATTTTAATGTATTTTATTATTAAAATTTTAATATCTATTAATATTAGAGTTTTATATGATATATGCTCCTTATATCTATAAATATAGGATTTAGAGAAAATATTGAATATGTTATACCTCCTGCAGATCTTCGGAGATGTAAAACTCCCAACTTGCTACAGCTCATTGACCACATAATCTGTAATCCATTATATCCATCAATTGATCTTAGTGATAAAGTAAAATGTTATATTCTCTATAAGTCTTTGGTTTACGCAATTGTTGTATGCTTACATTATCAAATATTATCTTATAATCACCTTAAATTATTTTAAAAAGATCTACAATCTATTATCTGATAATAAATTTGCTTTCTCAAAAAACAAAACAAAACACAGACACGAGCACGAGCAACGTCAATGTCTTTTCTCATTCATTCATTCTCCTCCATTTACATTCGATTTATTTTCCTTTTCTTCTCTCTCGCAACATTGATATGAACATTTAATCGTATTTAATCTTACATCTTTCTTAATATTAATAATTCCTCCTTATTTATTTATTTATGTTTCGATAAAAGAAATAAACATATGTCCACAAGTTTCCTAAGGAGTAGACAGAAACAGTAAGCAGAAGCTCTCCACAAACTTTGATCAAAACATCAGATAATTTATAGGAAGATTTACATAGAATTATTATTCTCAATTAAGCAACGTTGAAGGAATTTGCTACTCTCTCCACAAACTTTGTAGCTCCCCCCAGCTTGTGCCTTGCAGACGTAAAGCTCACCACCGTTTACGGTGGCAGTAATGAGTTGGTGCTTGCCGTCTTCATCTCCATCGGCAGTTCTTGTCAGCACCGACAAGAAGTATACTTTTTTCCCATCGATAACCGGAGTTGAAGTCTCCAATATGTTTGCGGTTGCCACAGTATTGGATACCAATACTACTTTAATGATATCTATACTCACTTAAACAAGTCTCGAAATATAAAATAATCCATAAAATATTTATAGTAGTGATAATTATTTATGAGTATCGATATTAAAATAATACTCAAAATATCTAACAAATCATAATTAATTATGATATTAATATCGGGTATAAATACTAAAATTAATTTTAAAATTAATAAGGTAATTTTTACTAAAATATTTGAGATTGGGCATCGCTCTAACTCCACATCACTGCATAAATTTCTCTCTCCTTGATTGGCCTTTCAACTTATTCGAACACGCTGTCATAATTCTTGGTGTTATATTATTCGGGTAAACTACATATTTAAATTTTTATTTTATCTTAATACATAGATTTTATTTCTAAAGTGTTTTAAATAAATATATATATATATATATATATATATATATATATATATATATATTCAACGTTTAGTTAAGTTTTAATTTACTATATGTCATTAAAAATCTAACGATAATATTGACATGTCACCATAAGATAATGTCACATAATTATTGAAAAAGTAAAAATATATCACATCAACAGTTTTATTAATTTTTTTAACGTAGGGATACTTAATTAAAACATAAATTAAACGTTATATGTGATTTTAGAAAGAAATTAAATATCAAAACAAAATAAAAATAATAATTTAAGTATTACACATGTAATTTACCCTATTATTTATTTTCACGTGAAAGGCAAGATTATGGAGTAGGGCCACTTACAATAAACAACCACCCGTCCAGACGTAGACAAACTCGTACATAAATAAATATATAAAAAGTTATTATGAATAAATTATCATTTGATATATGTTAATTAACGAAAAAAGTAATTTTATAAACAAATATGTTAAATGCTTTATTATTTATTTTTAAATGTATTTAAATAAATAAAAATTAAATCTAAAATATGGCAAAAGCCATAAATGTCTTTATAAAAATATAATTTTATTTTATATGTTATTTTTATAATATAAATACTACATTTCCCCTATTTTGATAATTTTTTATAATCTATTTATTAGTCGAATTAATGTTATTGAATTGAGTAATATTAAACTTATTCGGACATTTAATACAATATATATAAACCATAAAAAGTATATGAATGAATAAAAGTAAATAAGTTAAAACTTCGAAAAGTAGTGAGTACATTAACTTATTATCAACTTGGTAGCGAAGATATCGAAAAAAAATATTTTTACAGGTAATAATTAGGGTAAAGTACACAAATAGTCCCTTAATATATGGTCATGCTTCTTTTAATCATCCAACTATTAAAAGTTACAAAATGATTATCCGATTATTAGGTGTTGCTTTGTTGAATCCCCTGACTATTCAAAGTTACAAAATGGTCACCCCAATTATTTAGTATGTTCCAAACTCGTCCTTTTTATTAAAATTTTGACAATAGTATGAGTTTGATGTTAGCATGCTGACTGAGATATAATAATTTTTTTAGATTATGAGATTATATTTTATCATATCTCAGTAAGTATGTTAACATCCAGCTCAGATTGCCATCACTTTTTAATGGAAAATGTAACAACCCAGAAAATTTGAAGAAAAAAATGAAATTAAGCAATTTGGTAAATATTGGGGACTAAATTAAAAGTTCTCAAAACTTGTAGCATGTTTTAAAGTTTAAGGAAATTTAGGGACTAAACCATGAATTTAACCAAAAAAGTATCGACAGACACTCTAATAAATGGGAATCAGATATGCGAGGAGTTATCATAAGAGAGAAAAAAAATTCTAAGCTTTTCTTCACTCCCGCACCTTAACTTCCAACCACTATTCCGATGCCATCCGACCTCCGATCATCGTTTTGAAACCACCATCGTGTTCATCATCGAGCGGGGACCAAACACCTTAAATTAATTGAAGTGAAACGCTGCCAAACGCTGTGAATTTCAAGTCAAAACCTCGACCTTTTTTTAGCTCCATCGCCGAGAAAATCTTAAATTCATCGTCGATCGTTGCTCTGTTTTCGACACCTTCCGCACCATCGTGTTCCTTGTGCCGTTTCGAGTCCGCCGATGTCATCTTTGGTCTCCGTCGGCAGCGGCGCGTGAGGAGGTGAAGCAGTCAAAGTTTCCAATTTGTTGAAATCGAGCTCTCCACCGTTCAAAATTATGAACTGAACTTTGTAAGTGCCTCAAATCGCTTAAAATAATTTTTCCGTAATTTTTCCGACGCCAGAAAGTGGCCCACGCACTCCACTGCGCGTGGGGAAGGTTAAAATGACCGGTTTGATAGGTTTTTAAACTGTTTGACCGGTTTTGACCTGACCCGACCCATTGACCGTTAACCGGGTGGTATTTTGGTAATTATTTTGAAAATGGTGGTATTATGGTAATTATCTTGAAAAGGGTGCTATTTTTGTAATTATTTTTAAAAGGGTGATATTTTCGTAAAATGGTTGATCATCTTTGACCTCCTTTGACCAGAACTTTGACCGATTATTAAACGGCCGTTAATTTTTCCCGAGTATACATATCTTAATATTTTTTGACGTTCGGAATTCGTTTTGGGGGTCTGTTTCACCAAATTCGAACTCGAAAGTCTCCAAATCGTCAGTCAAACCCGTTAACTTTGAATTTGACCAAGAATTTAAATATCTGAAAGGTTATACTTTATGTTTTTTGACGTCCTGAATCTGATTCCGAAGTCCATTTTGTCAAATTCTGACCCGAAATTCCCGAATCGAGCTTGTGAACCCAAAAGGCTTAGTATTTTAGCATTTTTGATTATTTATTTGAGATTTGGTTAAGGAATTGATTGAGTAAAATATTTTATGAAGGTACTCGTGATTCATCTGAAAGGGGATCAGTTAGGTCCGGTGTTGTCCGTTCGTCAGATCAGCCTGAACCACGTACTACAAGAATTACCTGTAGGTTTTTGTATATTATTTAAATAAGATTTAGATTATTTATATTAGGGTTCTAATATGGATTTTTCTAATTCGTAGGATCTAGCACTATAGCAGAGCATAATCGACAGACCCAGTAATAGGCTTCCCTATCGATTTCTTAGACTGTTACAGGTGTGTTTCCTGACGGTGTTATCTTACTGTTTTAAACTATCATATGAATAGTTTATCTGATTTTTGACGGGATTTTGATATGATACTTGACCTAAATTTTTATATGATACATGACATGGATTCTGATCTGCTACTTGACATGAATTATGTTTTAAATTTATATATATATATATATATCCGTTATGAGCGGAACA